AGGTTCATGGGACTTAATAAGTACACTTAATAAGTACCCTAATTGGGTTATAAGTATAGTTACCTTGTTTATAACCCTGATTGCTAAGTCCCATGAGCCTTTAAGTATGCACGCTACCACAAGTTGCGCACCTTCTAACCTGGCCAGGCAGGAAAAACGAGGGATGAGCCAGGGGGTGTACTAGTACCGTGATTGCCAGGTCTGCTCGGTCTCCTCAAACTGCTGCTATGAGCATCACTGCGAATCTAACTGTTGTGACTCTGGCTACACGAACCAGGTGCTTGTCATATGCGAGTGTTGATGTGCCATTGCTCAAACAAACTTAAAACCTAGCTCCAAAGTTCCATGACTTTAAACCCTCAACCTGGTGGGCCTTGCCATCGGGCTTCAACCGCAAGTCTTCTCCATCCACGCAGATGTCGAGCGTTTCGGTGAAATCAGGTCCATCACCCTGCAATACTGTCATCTAGGGGCTGGCATGGTGCTCTTAGCGCCAGTGCAGTGCAACCGCACTAGTAGAAACCCTAGACCCCAAACACTAGACCATGTCTCGCACCACGGCGAGCCGTGATTCTATCTGGGTGTTCTCTAACTTAGGGTCCCTTCTTAAGTCCCCAATATAGTACGGCGCTCTTATACCTTAAAAAGTTCCCTAAAAGGGACCCTGATATAGAGAACTACCCATCTAGTCGCTAGAATCCCTTCTGTGGCTGATGCGAATGCATACATGCAAAATACAGCGGCCTCAAGGGTGTATAAATATGTTATACTGTTATACTGTTATACTATAGATGTACAGGGAATATAAATGTGTTAAAAACTGCTAAACTATAGTTATATAGGGAGTATATCGATAGACGCATATGGAGTATAAATATGTTAAACATAGTCAATCTATATAATTATGCAGGGAGTATTAGCAATCATATATTTATATCGACCCGTATGCTTGATGGAGGCGACTCCAGGAAATGCGTTGGCTTCGGCATCCCTGGTGCTGTAGGGGCCTTGATGATGATACTGTTGATGGACAAAATTCTGCATGACCCAAATATAGTATAGTACCATAAATCCCATAGTTTAGGTATATAAGGTCATGCAGGATTTTGTCCATCAACCGTACTTAATATTTGGGGCATGTTGTAGTGTAATGATATGAGGACTGATGCTGCGAACGGCAAACTAACCTGAAAAGTTACGAAACAGGAAACAGTGCAAGTTTGTGCTTACAATGGTAGCAGTCGGAAGTCAGCCGCCAGCGGGCATGGCAGTGAGTAGTTTTCAGTGTGGGACAGATACTACGGAGGGGGCCAGGTTTTTTTTGCTGCTGAAAGCACGGAGAACTTGTCTGCCAGTACTTGCATGGAGCGTAATGGCACCGTGGGCTTGTTGGGTGGCCACATGTGTCAATGGCCCTGGAACCTCAACGAACCTGAGCCGACGGTTCAGGGTTTCGCGTCTGCCGCCGCAAAAGCTTGACCACCTTTGGAAAGTCAATACTAGAGTTGGTCTGGGAACGAGAGGTCAAGTCTACATATCCGAGACGGGGATATATCTAAGAGGGGATATGAAAATCCATGTGCAACAGGCACTTCCTGTTCAAACTGGGTGCGAACCCGCAAGTTTGGTCAGTAAGCCCAAAAACCGCAACGAGCAAGCCTAACCCTTAGCATCCAGTAGCTGTATCCTGTAATCCTTCGGGTCTTTACCCGAAGCCCTAAATACCAATCTCCATAACATCCTGAACCCTCATATAGGAACCCTAAACCCAAATTTCAGCACCCAAATGTAGGAGGGACCCCAAACCCCATCATAGGGACACTAAACGGAACCCTAAACCTAAATCTCAGCACCCAAATGTAGGGACCCTAAACCCTAGCGACACCAAACCCTAACCCTACAGCCTTGCAGCGACCCCGAGCCCTACACCCTCAAGCCCCGGAACGGTTTAGGGTTTAGGGTTTAGGCCCTAAACCCTAAACCCTAAACCCTAAACCCCCGAACCTCCATCGAGCCGTACATGCTGTAGGAGATGTTGCGCCAAGGCCTGAGCTCTCTTGGCATTTTGGAGCATCCAGGAATTAGACGTTGACCTTTAGAGCGGGTTTAGGGTTTAGGGTTTAGGGTTGAGGGTTTAGGGCCTTCGGCCTCATGCTTCAACCCTACACCCAGATGATTGCTTTCTTTCCAGATCCCGAGCGTGGCAGAAGCATTCAATCAGGCTTGCTTGGAAGCATTGCTGTGCCCTCTTCGGTCATGCTAGGGCTAGGGCTTACGTCACGTTAGGATTTTGGGAATCGTCTAAGGTATGGTACTGTCGTTGCGAAGAATAGAAGAACCTTGGGAGGACTCCATCAACACGGTCACCGCTTTCGATTTGTTCCTGTGCCTTCGGTGTGTAGGGCCAACAACCAGGTCAAGGAGGCAACAAAGTGAGCCCGGCGGTGGCTAATGTAGAAACCTGATTAAGAAAGCCTGGGCCCTTATTTGGGTTCTTTATATGAAGATTTCTATTTTGGGGTTATAGGGCCAGGGTATCTTAATCAGGTTCCTATGCTCATTACAAGCTTTAAAGAGAATAGGCTCCCACAGTTTGCTGGTTTCGATGATGCAAGCATTACAGTAGCAGCTGCAAGTGCCGCCTGACTCGCAGCGGCAAAGTGACGCTTTGGCAACCTTACGCCTCAACCGCACAGGTCTCCGCGAGAGCATCATGTTGACCGCTTGTCAGCATCGTGACTTTGAACGGAGTCTACCAAAAATCGGACTTGAAGTGCCCAGCCTGCCACGAACTGATACTGTCGCGACTGTTTGCCATTCTGGTGGTCACTGTCCTCCGCACCACTTTATCCTCATCCTCATCATCATCATCATCATCAAAACCATCATGGTATTCTAGATCCTTAGCCTAGACGTGTCAACGCAATTAATCCTAGTTCTTACCGCCATGATACGGTTGCTACCCTTTCTTGCTAGGATGTACGGGATAAATGTCGCCATCAGTTGGCAGTATTTCTGTACATGACGTATCTGCCCAAACGAAAACGGGCTCCCGTAGGGGGACACATCTTGAAACGGGGGAAGGATCTTCAGCATACATCGTATGCAGACAAATTCCAGGGTCACCTTTGCATCGTGTGTCATGTTCAGCCACGCATGTGCAGACGAAAAGGGAGACCTCGGCCACAAGAAACTGCAACTGCTGATCTTGCTAGAAGCAACCTGCGACACTTAATAATAACAAATAAATAATTGTGTGTATATATATATATATATACCTATACATATATATATATATACATCTATATTTTTTATTTATATGGATGCAGCCTGGAAACTCTCCTTTTGCCTCTTCTTCAGGCGTGCGGTTGTTTTTCAAGTTTACACGCCTCAGTTGCAGCAGGTACCCAGCTCGTTCTCAGCCCAACTTCCTGTGTGCATCTGTCGGCGAACAGCAACCATGCTGTAGACACATGTACATTACCTCCTAAAAAGCTGGGAATTGGAAAAAAATACGATGAATTAGTGGCGACCCCGCTTTATGAAGTATGCACACAGCCCTCAGCCGCGGCATGAGATCCAAGCTGCGTGCAGTTTCGGAAGAACTCCACCGGCTTACAGGCGTTAGCTCGGCCCTGATTGCCCTCATGAAAACCTGGGGCGTGGGTGTAGCCTTCGGGATAAAGGCCGTCGAGGAAGGCTAACATGCGGAGATTGGCAACAACGGTAACAAGAACGCTGTGAAGCAAAGTTGAGTTCGCACTGCAATAAATGTCGACGACGACCGAAACAGAGACGTCACATAAACACGTGCACAAATAGAAAGACAACTTACACAGAGACACACATCAGGGACTATAAGCAACAGATGACCTGAACAAGAGCTCAAGCAACAATCAAGAACGAATCCGATAGCAAGAGCAATGCACTAAACATGCCTGTGCGCCCGTGTGGTTCTGAAATGCACTCCAAAATTCCAAACAAAAACACAGCTTGCTGCAATGATCCGGCTGATGAGCCATTAGTTAGGTTTCTGTTTTGTTGGCTTCTCGTACACAGACTCGATCAAGAGAACGAGGTTTGATACCAGAGATCTCCGTCACATACAAGTTGCGTGGAAAGCAGCAGATCCTGGTAGTACGAGAAGTTTCTGTTTACGAACATAGACGACCTAACGCGTTACCCTTTGAAGTACCGAGAACACCAAGCCGCGCTGTCGCCAAGCACATTGCTGGTCGAGAGTATTCACACAACGTGCTCGGACTGACACACGCGCACTCCTTGACATTCGCTCTGCTGACTTAGTTGAGCTACTTACCAGGAACATCAGTTGGGGAAAAGAGATGAGAGGCCCAAAGCACGGCATGATCAATCACTACCATCATCACGTCATCATCAAAGTCATGGAACGTGAGGCTGAAGACTGCCATGTCACACATGTCGCCGACGTTCCGGTCGAACACGTAGCATGTGAGCTCCTGCAACGGTTGACGTTTTTTCTCTTTGACAGCGCACGCATCGCCCTTGTTACTTTCAGCAGTGCGACATCGAAGATGCTGAAGTCATGAGGTCATCTGCACAAGATCACCCCTGCCTTACGGTAGGGGGGGGTCAAAAATGAAACATTCATGTAAGGACCCCCTCTAAGCCCTTTATGCCGAAATGAAACAAAGTACCTCCCACCCTGAAAGTTTCAATATTCAGGCCTAAGCGCAAAAAATGAAACATTTCACCTTCCACGTAACTTATTTCACTATTCATGTCACACAAGTGTAATATATTTTAGTATAATGCTCTATACCTGCCCAGACATATATATATATATATACATCTATAAGGGTTTAGGATGGTTTAGGATTGAGGAATCTGAAACCATCGGAGCTGGGCTGTCCTTCTAACTCTCTCCCCACCCCAGTCCCTCAAAGCTCAGCCCTAAACCCTAAACTCTTCTCCGACTCCGATATGATATATTCTCCCCCCTTTCGCATTTTTTCAAAGTTGCATTTTGCTTCCGTCTTTCCATCAACTCCAACATAGAATAAAAAAACTCCCCCGTACTCCCCGATTCCAAAAGTATGGCTCAAGACCACGCTCAAGCCCTCACAAAGTGCTTCGCTCCTTCCCCCCGGCTCAAGCCCAACAAAGGGCTCTCGTGCTGAGATCTCGCTGACAAGTGGCTTGAAAGTCTGAGTGGTGTGTTTTGGGATAGAAGCTCAAAGCCCGGAACAGTCAGCCAACTTTGCAGAATGCCGAGTCTCACTCACTTTGTTTGCCTCTCTCTCCCCACGTCTCCCACGCATGCAAGCTTGCATGATGTTGTCAGGCATGCGAGTTGGGACTGTCGGTCGGCGAGTTAGATATCGGCGACTCCCACGAGGAGTCCGCGCCACAGCAAAGCGATCTTCATGAAGGGCAGGCTCCGGGGGGGAACGGGTTCCAGCCTGTGTCGCATTGGGACAGTGTGAGAGTAAGAATGTGTGTGAGAGTTTCGGGACAAGCCGGGCCGGCAGCCGCAGGAGGTTTTCTTCGATAAAAGGCCCCGCAACTCGAAGAGCGTAAGCAACCTGCCCCCACCAGACGCGAGCATTAAACCGCGAGATGCTCCTTGACCGCCCTGGCCACAGGATCCTCG